TTCTCTTCCTGCATTTTCCAGGAATAAAACCTGCTCTAGCCAAGTTGGAGCCCTACTTGAAAGACAAAAATAATGAAGCAACGAGCGTGAGTTATTTCCTTTTCGGGATGTGCCAAGCATTCTACCTCCATTCAGAATCGTAGTGGCACTCTGAATGTGATTTCGGCCACACAATCACCCGTGGGCCAGCCGATGTGCAAGTCAGTGTGGCTATCCTTCCAGACAAAAACCCTCCAATTGATTAAGCGTCTCTGGAGGGATAGCACCTTGGTGGCTGAGCGGGCGTTTACGGTCCAGATTAATCCTGCAGTGTCGTGTACTGCCAACACATTTTGCCACTTTCACCAGTCCATCCCTTCTTACTACGCCTCTAATCAGAATCACAAGTAAAACACTAAACCTCTCGCGCTGACCAATGTTAAGCCTATGTGAACCATGCTCATTGCCCTTAGCATACATACTCTCAGTAAGCAGCTAAAAAGGGGCTTTGCAAACGTCAGCCACGAAAAACTCAGTGAAACCAAGAATGCCTTCAATGAATCGTATGTTCTCACGCAAAAAACCAGAAAATCTCACACTATAATTCTTAAATTTCTTAGTAGGGGAGAGCAAAGGGAAAGTGCAGGAGGTTCTCAGAGAATTTCAAAAAATAAAGCGTTCTATTGAACTTAGTCGGCAACAAAAGAATTTTTAAGATGTTAGGGAAGCCTCAGTAGCTCCTTTTCGAACGGTTTGCAGAGTCTGGCAATTGGAAGTCTGGAACTTGATCTCTGGTGGTCTCTGCCTTCCAGAAAGAGCCAAATTTTTCTTGGATAAGACCAAATTCGCTAATACCCCGACATTTTCAACTGTTTACCTTCGTGGACAGCCTAGTGTCACAGGGTGAATAGGAGAAGCTCAGTGGTTAGATGCATTGCTCCATGGTAGCACAAGTTGCCAGATCAACTCGCAGCCGAGCATAAACTAACCACTTCCCGTTCCTAAATCAACCATTTGAGCCTGTTTTGATACCCTGATTTAGAACCCATAATTTAGCACTACTAACTTACCGAGAACCATTCCATAGCGCCAATCATTTGTCCTAATGTCTTCCCGTTAGGCGAACGCTACATCGTTTTTCGTATTGGTGGCTTATGAGGTCTGCCCTTTCCACTCCAGGGACACGCGCTCCATCATACTATTCGCTCAGAGCTTTCATGACAACATCTGATTGCATCGAACCACAACACTTCTAAAAATATCCACTGACTACCCTTCAAATATCTATTCAAAGCTGAACGGAAAGCGAGGGCGTAGCGTATCCCAAAAATAGGAGATGTGGGAATCGATACCTTTATTCGTAACTAAACAATCATTCTGAGGATAGCAATCATTATACTCTAGCCGGTTGTTATTTCTTGACGACACTGAATTATAGGCTTTTCGTCGGTGATTCTGCCCCGTGGGCGTCGTCGTCGGCCATCCCTCAAAGGGGTAATTCGAATTTTCGAATTCTTCGAAAACGCTGCTGAAGTTGTTCGCACAACGAAAAGGTCTAAATCAGCTTTCAGTTGTTCAGAAATTCAATTTACTTTCTCTACACACAATTGCCGTGTAGGGCTTAACATCGAGCGTTCATTTCGGCCCCCAACCTCTCACTGACCGGTGGGTTTAAGTTCAATGTTTAGGTGTCGGCATATAAGACATAGAGGTTCATTCTGAAATTGTTCTTCTCTCTTCTTCTCTTCTTCTTGTTCTGAAAAAGTTCTCTTTTGTGGAATGATGTGTAGTTAAATATAACTGGTGCCACTTTTGCGACATCAAAAGTTCGACTAAGGCACTTCGAGCTTACCGCGTGAATCCATGCAAAACTTGCGCACTTGCACGACCAGTTGGGGATGCACTTGCGTCTGCGTCTCACTCGTTCCCTATAATCTCTCTTCTCGGAGTGTATGTTCTCTCCCTTTGGCATCCAGACTCTTCTAAACTGCTTGTTGCAGGAATCATCCAATCCTCGAAGGGACTCTTGTTATTGGTGTGTGACTGAAGCAACTTCGGTAGCCTTTGTGTTCCTTGACTCGATTCGCAGTGGCACCTTTCATTGTCGAGCTAAAAAGCCATTCTTTTAAATGTTGGAGGAAATGTGCTTATAATAGTAGCTGTGAACCGACTAATTACACCTCACTACTTCATAGATTTTTGGTCGCTCTTACTACCGGTCGGCCAGTTATGCACTTTATCATCTGACAACTGGCACTTTTCTTACCGCGTACGAACGCAATCTACACCACGTCTAGCACTTCCCCTCTTCTCATTTGGGGAAGGGTTCATTGCACTCTTTTATATCTCTGCTCCGTGCACATTAGGCAGCCAAATCTTGGCTGCTAGCGGATCAGTGGTTACAAATCGGATTCTAGCCGATATCGTCAAACTCATCTATGCGCCTAGTTAGCGCTACTACTTATTTCGCTCCCTTCCCAGGTGGTCGTCCAGCACTCAGAACTGCATCCCTTGCCATACTGCATTCCGGCCACTATCGTCCTTAATGGCGGTAGGTTCGAGGCTGCTCTGGGTTATATTCTAGCAAAAAACCGAGCTATTTAAAGTGAATTTCTGTGTGAGTCCGCATTCCATGGGCCTCATATCACAGTGTAGCGCGCTGAACACATGCTCAGCAAGCCCTAGTTGGCCCTCTCCCACTTTATGTTATAGCGCGATTCGTCCGTTAATAATCCTAAAGGAAAGACTTTCACAGCTAGAAGTCGGGATAGGAAGAAAGGATATACTTATTTTCTCACCTAGGGGTGGAGGAGTGCCGGAAGTCGGGGCCCATGAAGGGTGCAAGATACAACACACAATTCGCAAGCACCGCCGGGCCACGGAGGTTGGCCCCGTAAATTGCTAGCATGGGCATCCCCACTGGCATTATTGCTGACTTTACCGCCTCGGGTACGCGCCTCCCCCCTTCGCGCTCTGGCCTATCGAGGCCTTAACGAGGAGAGGCATTGACGTTGAAGAGGACAGCCACGATGAAAGTCCTGTCTTGAGGCGAAATCCAGCTTAGCATAGGGAGCGTACATTTTCGGTGGGCATTCTGGGCAGTTTCTCGTGAATGATCTCTCCATTCTGCCATTAGTGACTACTCTCTGTGCCCTATATTCGAGGGCATGACGCTCTCATTGTAAAATCCGGTCTATGGACAGAGGCTATCTGTGTACCCAGCAGGCTGTCATAGCATTTCTGGGGACAAGCTACGTGACGTTTGCGTGTTCGAAAGAGTTTCAGGGTGGGTACTGTTTAGACAAGAACCGTATCCAAATAGGGTGAGTATCGGTCGAGGATTAACGACACCTCATTGTCAGTAAGGATTGGTTTTCTGATCAGTTTAGCATCTCCCGTGCGACGTTCACACTCGCCATAACGCGAGCCGTCGGACGGCTCGGGCGTGGCACGTTACACTCTCGCACGTACTCTCGCCAGCGAGTAGCAGAGCCGTGGTCGAGGAATTACTCGGGGAAGGACTTGTTAACCCAGTCCCAAATCTCACCTTCGTGGTCTCCTCACCCGCTATTCATCCTCGTCCCAAACCTCACCCATCCTAATTTCCATATCTATTTTTAGTGCGTACTGTTTTCGGGGGACGAGGCTGTCGGGGGCGGGGCTTGGCGCAACCGTCGTGAGGAACATCCAATAAGCTTAAGAACATCTTCGCCCATAATTGTTGGCCTGATGCCTCTACATCTGAATGATTATGCAGGTGTTCAAGTTCTACCTTTTGGCCTAATTCTTGATATGGGCCGTTTTTTTCTGCTATTTTGGCGCTACTCATTTGTAACCTCTACTGCGCTGCTTCAGAGAGCGTAGACAGAGTAGCACGACATCATTGCGAAGAATGAAGCACACCCATAAAAAAGCGAGCCGAGTTTCTTTTCCCTCCTTTTAGGGACGTCGGCACCATTGATATGTCGGAAAAATAAGGGGTCGAAGCACAAGGAAGCTCATCAGCCTTGGAAGTGCAACAGGAAAAGCACGCTTGAAGCTTCAAGTCGCAGACTATTGCTGATTCCGTTTTTGTTTATGTCTAACTAGGTTTCTTTTAGATGATATCCAGCGAGCACGAGCCGTGGAGCAGGGCAGCTGGAAAGCTCACCTCTAGATCAGATCAGCTCCGGCTCTGCACTGAGCATTCAAATTCTACTTCGAGACGGTAGATGCACTTGAATGCGTCACTGGTCCATACATTGTCTTAAGACGGCTTGCTCCTCTTCATGACTGCCTTTTTCATTTGGATAGGGCACTATGTTACCGAACTACCGACTACAGTAGTATACCTAGGTATGCTGGTGCGCACGGGCAGCGATCCTCCGGAATGCGTACGCGCAACGGTACGCCTTTCGCCGCTGCGCCTGCCTAGTGTTTCAAAATTGATATGGACAAAAGGGCGTTCCCTGATGCTCTCATGGCGTATTGTTTTGGGCATATCTGATTTATCTCTTTTTAAAGCTGCGAGCATCCGAGCATTTCCCTTCACATATCGATTTTAGTTAATTGGACTTCTAACTCGCCACTTTGCAACTGCAACCAATGACTGTTTTGCACCTTTTCCTTAACATCTTTACAACTTACTTCGGTTCTTATTCTTCCACATAGTTGAATGAAGTTAGAGCAGCGGCTAGAGGCGCCACAACAGCGATTTTTAGATCGGATTCCTGTCAACTCAGCTATGCTTTTCGATCTTCATTGCCTACCATATAGCACCCGATTCGTCTTGAGGGGTGAGACTAACCCTAAAATGTCTTATCGTATGAACGTATGCATGTACAAGCTAAATCAAATTCCTCAGCAGTGCGAACTGGACATCGAGTACATGGCGCATTCCGAAGGAATTACTTGATGGCGAGCATTTTATACCTTTCTCTACAATAACTATGGTGTCGTGTTTTCAAATTTCTTCGCTCTCATGTCAAACGTGCGCTATTTTCTTGTGCTTCGGCTCGACGGTCTAAGCATTTCCACTTCAGATGACGGTCGGCAACGAAGTGAAACTGGTGATTTTCGACAAAGATGGTACCTTGGTCGATTTTCATCGTATGTGGCTACCATGGGCCGCCAATACGGTACAACTGTGAGTGCACTGGCAATATAGTTGGAGTTGGGTTTTATGAAAGTAGATATCAAACTCGGATTTTTAGACTAGAAAGAGCCACAGCACGACCTGTCGGACCAGCCGTCTACAAGACTCTTGGGGTGGATCCTATTCAAGGCAGGGTTAGTGGTTTTTCT